GGTGCTTTATCACTACAGTTTTTAAACTGCCAACATTAACACCCCTTCCTTCAGAGTGCAGGCACTGTACTTCCCATCTCAGGACTACAGCTACCGGCCTGCGTGTTTCCCTGAACCTTCATAAATGTTTATACTTTGGCTCACACTCCAATGCGTCACGTATTAAAAACCATTTGTCTCCATTCTCCATATCAAACACGCTCATGCATACCTGCTGGAAGTCCTAGCCCCTCGCACACAAAACATCCTTTTACCCCTCTCTCCACCTTTCCTAGGCCGACCCCTACCCCCAGCCTTCCTTCCACTACAGATGATACAATATTGAAGTCATTCTGTTTGCTCCATTCTCTCTAATTGTCCGAACACCTCAACAACCTTCCTCAGCCCCTCTGGACAACTGTTTTGGTAATCCCGCACTCCTCCTAATTCCAAACTCCGATTCTCTGCATTATATTCACACCACACATTGCCCTCAGACATGACATCTCCACTGCTTCCCAGCCTTCTCCTCGCTTGCAACATTCATCACCATGCTTCACACCCATATAAGAGCGTTGGTAAACTTTCTCTCATACATTCCACTCTTTGCCTCCAAGGCAAGTTCTTGTCTCCACAGACTCTCTAAGTGCACCACTCACTCTTTCCCTCATCAATTCTTGATTCACTCCAATCTTTCATAGACCCATCGCTGGACAAACGTCCACTTCACTCCACCAAATATCTGAATAACATTCACCTCCTCCATACCTCTCTCCCTCCAATCTGATATTCAATCTTTCATCACCTAATGCTTTTTGTTATCCTCATAACCTTACTCTTTCTGTATTACCTTTAATTTTCTTCTTTTGCACACCCTACAAAATTCATCACCAATCTCTGCAACTTCTCTTCAGAATCTCCCAAGGAGCACAGTGTATCAGAGGAGAGCTGTGACAACTACCACTTTGGTGGGATTCTTTATCTTTTAATCCACACCTCTTGTCAAGACCCTCGCATCTTTACTTCTCTTTCATACCCCCATCTATAAATATATTAAACAACCACGGTGAACATCTCACATCTTGTCTAAGGCCTACTTTTACTGGGAAATAATTTCCTCCTCTTTCCTACATATCTAACTTGAGCCTCACTATCCTCGTATATATTTAAAAAATATTTCACTGGCCTCTTCATTCCCAACCTCCTACACCATACACTTGAACATCTGCACTATATATATATATATCTATATATATATTATTATATATATATATATCTATATTTATATATATCATTATATTTTTATATATATATATATATTATATATATAAATTGTATTTTATATATATTTTTATATATATATATTTATATATAATTTTTTTTGTTTTTTTTTTTTTTTTTTCAACAAGTCGGCCCCGCCGTCTCCCCCCACCGAGGCAGGGTGACCCAAAAAAGAAAGAAAATCCCAAAAAAGAAATTACGTTCATCATCATTCAAAACTTTCACCACACTCAATAAATTATCACTGCTTTTGCAAGACGGTGCTCAGGAATACAACAGTTTTAGAAGCATATACGTATATAGAGTTACACAACATTTCCCTCCAAACTGCCAATATCCCAAACCCTCTCCTTTAATGTGGCAGGCATTGTACTTCCCATTTCCAGGACTCAAGTCCGATATATGAAAAATAAAAAACCGGTTTCCTGAATTCCTTCACAAATATTACCCTGCTCACACTCCAACAGATCGTCAGGTCCCTATTGTACATTGTATCCATTCACTCTATCTAACACGGGCTCATGCACGCTTGCTGGAAGTCCAAGCCCTCACCCACAAAACCTCCTTTACCACTCTTTCACTTTCCGTGGACGGACCCCTACCCCCTTTCCTCTCCACTATAGATTTTTATGATTTCCATGTCATTCTACTTTATCCATTCTCTCTAAAGAACAAAACACCTAACAACCCCTCTTCTTGCCCTCTGACTAATGCTTTTATTAACTCCACACCTTCTCCTAATTTCCACTCTCCGAATTTTCCTGCATAATATGTACACCACACATTGCCCTTAGACGGACATCTCCACTTGCCTCCAAACCGTCTCCTCGCTGCTGCATTTACCCAACCAATGCTTAACATACCATATAAGAATGTTGGTACGACTATACTTTATACATTCCCTTCTTTTCGCCTCCATAGATAAGTTTTTTTTTGGACTCCACATATACCTCAACGCACCATCACCTTTTTTCCCTCATCAATTTATGATTAAACCTTATCCTTCAATAAATCCTCCGCCGACAAGTCAAACTCCAAGTAAAGTATCTGAAAACATTCATTCTTCCTTACTCCTCCTCACCAATTTGATATCAATTTTTCTTTATCTAAATCATTTGATTACCATCATCACCTTAGTCTTTTCTTTGTTAACTTTAATCTTTCTACCTTTACACACAATTCTCAATCATCCACTAAACCTTGCCAATTTTTCTTTTAGATTCTCCCATAAGCACTGTATCATCAGCCAAACAGTAACTGGGTTTTTTCCCCCCCAAAATTTCCCCATTTTGAATTTGCATTCCATAATTTATTTTCCCACCCATCTCCGACACCTAAGCATTTACTTCTTTTACAAACCCCATCTATTCAATATATATTAAACAACCATTGTGACAGTACACATCCCTTGTCTAAGACCTACTTTTAAGGGAAGTATATTCTCCCCTCTTTTCTACACACCTAACCTGAGCCTCACTATCTCATAAAAAGCTCTTTACAGCATTTAGTAACTTACCACCTATTCCATATACTTGATACATCTGCCACATGCCTCCTCTTTTCCACTACTAATCTTATGCCTTTTCTAAATCCATATAAATGCATAAAAACTTCCCTACCTTATTAAATACTGTTCCATATATGCTTCAATGTATAAACACTTTGATCTTCACAGCCCTACCCACTCTGAAGACCTCCTTGCTCGTCCGCAATTCTACATTCTTCTTTCCTCTAATCTTTCATTTATAACCGACCGTATTTTACTTTTCCTAGGCTATATCAGGTAAACTTATTCCTCTATAATTTTTACAATCTCTTTTGTCCCCTTTCCTTTATATAAAAGGGACTAGACTTTACATGCTCTCGCCAATCCCTAGGTACCTTCCCCTCTTTCCTACATTTATTAAAAAAAGTAACCAACCACTTCAAAACACTATATCCCCCTGCTTTTAAAATTTCTGTCATGATCCCATCAGTTCCAGCTGCTTTACCCCCTTTCATTCTACGTAATGCCTCCGTACCTCCACCACACTTACGTCTGCTCTTCTTCACTCCTAAAAGATGGTATACCTCACTGGCCGTGCATGGGAAATTGCGCCTCCCTTTCTCCTTAAATTTAAAAGTTCCTCAAAATATTCTCGCATCTACTAATACCTCCCTCTCCCCATCTATCTAACTCCCCTACTCTGTTTTTAACTGAACAATTCCATAACTTTCCCTAGGCTTTCTTAACTTGTTTAACTCACTCCAAATTTTTTTCTTATTTTCATTAAAATTTCTTGACAGTGCCTCTCCCACTCTATCATCTGCTCTCCTTTTGCATTCTCTCACCACTCTCTTTACCTTTCTTTTACTCTCCATATACTCTGCTCTTCTTATAACACTTCTGCTTTGTAAAAACCTCTCATAAGCTACCTTTTTCTCTTTTATCACACCCTTTACTTCATCATTCCACCAATCACTCCTCTTTCCTCCTGCCCCCACCCTCCTATAACCACAAACTTCTGCCCCACATTCTAATACTGCATTTTTAAAACTATTCCAACCCTCTTCAACCCCCCCACTACTCATCTTTGCACTAGCCCACCTTTCTGCCAATAGTCGCTTATATCTCACCCGAACTTCCTCCTCCCTTAGTTTATACACTTTCACCTCCCTCTTACTTGTTGTTGCCACCTTCCTCTTTTCCCATCTACCTCTTACTCTAACTGTAGCTACAACTAAATAATGATCCGATATATCAGTTGCCCCTCTATAAACATGTACATCCTGGAGCCTACCCATCAACTTTTATCCACCAATACATAATCTAATAAACTACTTTCATTACGTGCTACATCATACCTTGTATATTTATTTATCCTCTTTTTCATAAAATATGTATTACTTATTACCAAATCTCTTTCTACACATAGCTCAATTAAAGGCTCCCCATTTACATTTACCCCTGGCACCCCAAATTTACCTACTACTCCCTCCATAACATTTTTACCCACTTTAGCATTGAAATCCCCAACCTCCATTACTCTCACACTTGATTCAAAACTCCCCACGCATTCACTCAACATTTCCCAAAATCTCTCTCTCTCTCCTCTACACTTCTCTCTTCTCCAGGTGCATACACGCTTATTATAACCCACTTTTCACATCCAATCTTTATTTTACTCCACATAATCCTTGAATTAATACATTTATAGTCCCTCTTTTCCTGCCATAGCTTATCCTTCAACATTATTGCTACTCCTTCTTTAGCTTTAACTGTATTTGAAACCCCTGACCTAATCCCATTTATTCCTCTCCATTGAAACTCTCCCACCCCCTTCAGTTTTGTTTCACTTAAAGCCAGGACATCCAGCTTCTTCTCATTCATAACATCCACAATCATCTCTTTCTTATCATTTGCACAACATCCACGCACATTCAGACTTCCCACTTTGACAATTTTCTTCTTATTCTTTTTAGTAGTCTTTACAGGAAAAGGGGTTACTAGCCCATTGTTCCCGGCATTTTAGTTGACTTTTACAACACGCATGGCTTACGGAGGAAAGATTCTTAATTCCACTTCCCCATGGATATAAAAGGAAAAGTAATAAGACCAAGAACTATTAAGATAAAATCAAAGAAAACTCAGATGAGTGTGTATAAATAAATGTGTACATGTATGTGTAGTGTGACCTAATTTTAAATGACTGACTGTATTATAAAAAAATTCTTGCAGTTGTCTGTATTTTCTGTTGCAGTATGGATACAGATCCTGAGCACCTAGATACAGTGTCTGCAATTGCTGAAGCTTCCCAGACAACGTATGTTCGTGGCAGATGGGTTTACACAGACACATCGCATGAAACACAGTACCGCATCGTCCATCCCTTGTTGCCTGGATCAGGTGACTATTCTGCCTACAATCTTATGTGTAAGTTGTGATATTGCTGAAAGTTTAGTTAAAAGCATGTCTGTAAGTATGAGAAATCTATTTTTATCATATATAATAATTAGTGTGACTGGAGGACTGGAGGTAATGTTGAGGAACAGAGCATAAGGTGCAAACTGTATTCCTTGTTGATCTTATGCTAAATTCTCAAGAACATTGAGATTGAATAACACTATGATTAGCATATGTTGCACTTTAAAGCATTAGCAAGTTGAGGAAGTATTTTAAATAAATTTGAAAAACATGGGATAAAAATTCCTTAAAGAAATGCAGTGATGGAAATAGGCAAACATGTGAAAAGTATGGTGAATGGTAAGTTGGTATTGTGGAAAATAGAATTATAAATGGTAAACCATGTAGAAAATATATGACTTGAAGTATTGTTTTGGGCCTGTAATATGGAGGAAATCAAGAGGATGGACTAGTAGGCATGAACACTGTTATGTTTAAAAAACCAGCAAATCTTTAATTAACAGACTTGGTTTAGTTATGAAAGTTTAAAAAAATATTTAGGATTCAATTTCATTCAAAACAAACTTTGGTTTCATGGCTTTATTATAGTTCCTTTTGGCTGGTACAATTTTTTTTACTCAAATTGAATGTGATATTAATGAATTTATTTAAATTTCTTAAGGATGGTAAATGTTTTCTGAGATGTCGCTAACCTTGATGGGGGGGGGGGGGAGTTAATGTATTGAATTTGGTATGCTGATGTTAGTAGAAAAGATGTGTGAATCCCCTGTCACATTTCAATACCCCATAATTGAGTCGGGGCAAAACTGAGTTTCTACCCTTGATTGAAGAATTGTGGGTTGGCAGGTTGGGTCTATTTCACTTCATCGCTTCCTCCATAAAAGGAAATTTCACAATCTTATTCTAGTTGGAGAGAGAGAGAGAGAGAAACATGGGTTGTTCAGTACTGAGAAAATTATCTATTTACTACTAGAGGAATATGGGCAGTACTTATAAGGAAACTTGCCCACATTCTTTCCCAGGTAGATATGGACAGGTCTCCTTGTCTCTGCTACCCCATTTCACCTAGCAGCAGTAAAGAGGTACTTAGAAGTTGACTTTGTTTGGGTCTTTCCCCGAAATGTTCATGTGTCATAGTGGCTTTCTTTGTGCTTAAGAATATTTTACTATGTGTAAACTACACGCCATATACTGCACTAAGAATTAAAATTTTTATTTTGAATTTGAATTGGAGTGAACTGAGGGATGTCAACAGAAAGTGCCAGTACATGTCTGTCTTGAATTATTCTCCAAGGTTAGTAGTCTAAAGAAATTTCTCTCTTCAGGAAGCTAATGACAGTTTAGCCTAGTTACATAGTGAGTGAGGGAGGGAGGGAAACTTGGAAAGCATGGAAAGTCAGTAACAGCTTATGCTAGCTTTATAATGAGGGAGGGATACTTGGTAATTGCAGAAAGCCAATTGTAGTGTATTGTAACAAATGTGTTCATGAATGTCTTAATTTTCTAAATGCTCTTCATCATCATTGTATGCATACACAAGTCACACTAGAGGCTTAATTAAAATACTAAAGGTCAGAAGAAATATGCAGTTTGAAAACTTAAGAAAATTGTGGATACAGGAGATATTTTTAAGGGCTATGACTGCACAAATTGTATAAGGCCTTAGTGATAAGTAGGTTTATTCAGGTACAAGTGCACACAAATACAGTTACATGAATTATCATACATACCAGCATATGTTTAGATTACCTAGGATAACCCCAAAAAAAAGTCAGGACCACCACACTCAACCTGGGTTGGTGGATGACTTTCTCTACAATATTTTTGAAATTAGGAGAAGGTGTGGAGTTAATAAAAGTATTAGTCAGAGGGCAGAAGAGGGGTTGTTGAGGTGGTTTGGTCATTTAGAGAGAATGGATCAAAGTAGAATGACAGGGAAAGCATATAAATCTATAGGGGCAGGAAGGCGGGATAGGGGTCGTCCTCGAAAGGGTTGGTGAGAGGGGGTAAAGGAGGTTTTGTGGGCGAGGGGCTTGGACTTCCAGCAAGCGTGCGTGAGCGTGTTAGATAGGAGTGAATGGAGACGAATGGTACTTGGGACCTGACGATCTGTTGGAGTGTGAGCAGGGTAATATTTAGTGAAAGGATTCAGGGAAACCGGTTATTTTCATATAGTCGGACTTGAGTCCTGGAAATGGGAAGTACAATGCCTGCACTTTAAAGGAGGGGTTTGGGATATTGGCAGTTTGGAGGGATATGTTGTGTATCTTTATACGTATATGCTTCTAAGCTGTTGTATTCTGAGCACCTCTGCAAAAGCAGTGATAATGTGTGAGTGTGGTGAAAAGTGTTGAATGATGATGAAAGTATTTTCTTTTTGGGGATTTTCTTTCTTTTTTTTTGGGTCACCCTGCCTCGTTGGGAGACGACCGACTTGTTGAAAAAAAAAAAAAAGTATAATTGGATTTGCTAACTGTGTGGCCAGGTATGATGGGTGTAAACAGTGCAGGTTTGTGGCCAGGGTGGTTAATATGAGCACTGTAGATGAGTTGTTAATGTCAACAGTACAGGTGCGTGGTCAAGTTTTTTGACCTGTCTGAGCAGTACAACTGAGTCACCATGTGAAGGAACACACGTTTTTATAAATTAATATAGTTTCTTGAAGCTGTTTGTAGGAAGATTTAGCCTATTGCTGACATGCATGAAGACACACACAACAAACTTGTATTAAGACAAGGTTTTGATTTGTATAGAGCATCAGCACTTGAGGAAGCTCTATACAGTGTGAAATGTGTTAGTCGGTTCTGCACTTTTGTCTGTCTTCAAGCTGTCTGCAATTGTTGATTGTGATTTAGAATTACATTTCAAGCTTTAATCCACCAGGAGGACTGGTCTAGAACTGGGCTGCAGGGGCATTGACCCCCCAAAAACATCCTGTAGGAATCTTTCAGATAGTACTAACTTACTAGGTACGTACCTAGATGATGGAGGTCACCACGTTCTCGTGTTTCATTTAACATCTAGGAAGGTTTAACCTTATTTTGTATGTGGTTAACAACAAACTCTTTATATTATATTTTATTGTTGGACCATTCTTAGATAATTCTAGCTCTGTTTACAAACAAATTGAAATGGGTGATGCAAATGTTTATAATGGTTAGCATTGTAAGTTATGTTACATTCTGTTCCTGGCATTATTGTTTCTGTTATCATGATAAAAGTGCTTAACCTGTAGAGGTCATACAGGGGATGGGAGGTAATCAGGTTTGTTCTGAGGATGTGGAGAGTAACCTATGGCAGTGGCCTGTGACAAATGCAGAAAATGTTCCTGAAATATAGTGGTCAAAGTGATCTTGTGAAGTTGATAGAAAAATATTTGTATAGGGCATCATCTTTCACTCTAGGGCAGTACTCTAGGGCATCACCCCTTCATTGTAGGGCAGGACTAGGATATTGGGTAAGAGGCATCACTGGCGATACCACAATTGTTGTCCCTATTGCGAGCCATCCTTATGTATCCGCTTTCACCCCAGCCAGTACCCCATGAGTTCTTGACAATCCAGTAGTCTTGCCCATTTTCAGTGCCATATCCCACATTCAGCATATCATGGTCGATGAGGTCTGATGAGCATGCCGATTCATAATACACACCTGTGGAACAAGTGTACCAGTTAGTAAATATTTATATATTTCCTTCTATAAACACTAGTTAACCCATAAACTTTGGCATACTGAAGTAATATTTCTCATAAGAGATAATGGAAATCCAATTAATCCGTTCCAGACACCCAAAAATATTAACAAAAAATACATTTTAGAGGGAATAACTATAGTTAGGCATACAGAAAACAATGAGAAATAAATATAAATGACTAATGAAATGGATAAATGAACATTTAACATCAGTTTTGCCTTTATTGAAGACTCTTGTTGGCTCTATGGAAGACGGCGAGGAGGGGAGAGAGAGGAGAGGTTATTGTTTGGTAGGGGAATCCCCCTCCATAAGGACTTAAGGTATCAAAGCCCTATCCGGGGTTACTTCCCTTCTTTGTCTTTTACTGGCACTAGGATTAGCTTGAGAGTCACTGGACCCCTGTTGCACAAAACATCTGTCCAGAGAGGCCTGTTTCTGGCATCTTTAAGATTTGCCTAAAATGGGACACAGCATTGTCATTGAACATGTTGCTGACATAGCTTGCAACAGCTTTGTTAGGGTGATATTTCTCCACAAAACTTTGCACCTCACTCCACTTTGCACAGATGTCTTCCTCCTCCTCTGAAGCAATTTCTTCAGCTAAGGTCTTTTGCTGTTCCAGATGAAGGTCTTCCAGCTCTTCAGTGGTTAGCTCTTCCTTGTGGTCATCCACCAACTTTTCCACATCCTGGCCACTCACCTCCAACCCCATGGACTTCTCCAAAGACATAATAGATTCCACAACAGGCGTAGGGTCATTAGAGTCAGCCTCAAACTCTTCAAAATCCTTCTGGAGGACACATTCTGGCCACAGTTTTCTCCAAGAAGAGTTAATCGTCCTGGAAGTCACTCCCTGCCAAGCCTTATCTATAAGTTTTATGCAATTGAGGATACTGAAGTGATTCCTCCAGAACTCTTTTAAGGTCAGTTCAGTGTCCAAGGCCACTTCAAAGCACCATTGAAACATTGCTTTGGAGTAGAGTTTTTTGAAGTTTGAAATGACCTGCTGGTCCATGGGCTGGATGAGAGGAGTGGTATTAGGGGGCAAGAACTTCACTGTGATGAAACTAAATTCCCTCAACAGTTGATCTTCCAAGTCTGGAGGATGAGCAGGAGCATTGTCCATTACCAGGAGGCACTTGAGTGGCAATTTATTTTCCAGGAGGTATTTCTTCACACTCGGGCCAAACACTTCTTTGACCCACTCAATGAAAATTTGCCTCGTGACCCATGCCTTATTGTTAGCCTTCTACATAACACACAATTTACTCTTGATGATATTGTTTTTCTTGAACACTAGGATATTCAGAGTGATTCACTAGTAAAGACTTCACTTTGAAATCCCCACTAGTGTTACTACAGAACAAAAGTGTTAGCCTATCCTTCGTAGGCTTGTATCCTGGCAGTTCATTTTCCTCCTGCTTGATGTAGGTCTTCTTTGGCATTTTCCTCCAGAAAAGGCCTGTTTTGTCACAGTTTAAGATTTGTAGGGGGAGGAATCCTTCAGCCTCTACGTACACCTTGAATTCATCAACGAATTCTTCGGCCCCACATTTGTCCGAACTTGCAGCCTCGCCATGCCTTACCACACTGTGTATGCCACTTCGCTTCTTGAATCTGTCGAACCAGCCTTTGCTGGCCTTAAATTCACTAACAGCAGCACTTGTTTCTGGCATTTTCTTTACGAGATACGCATGCAACTGCCTTGCCTTTTCGCAAATTTTTGCCTCCACATCACTATCTCCTGGTAACTGTTTTTGGTTGATCCACACCAACAACAACAACTTAACATCTTTGATTGTTTGCAGTCTCTGTTTCGTTAGCACATTTACCCCTTTTGCAACATCAGCTTTCTTGATTTCTTTTTTCGTTGCCATGATGGAACTGATCGTTGATTTGGACTTCCCATACATCCTGGCAAGCTTGGCCACACATACACCTCTTTCATATTTTTCTACGAGTTCTTTCTTATATTCCTTCATGTTTCTCACCTTCTTTACCAAACGGCTGGCACTCGGAACTTTCTTTGGCCCCATGGTGGCTTATTTAGCAGTCACAAGCACAAAAAACAATGGATTATTACAAAATGTTTCGGATGAATGCGCAAAGTAATGCTCACTGAACGAATAACAAAGGCAGACCGAGTCACGAACATGTGAGTGGCTGGTACAGACGATTTCCAAGTGGATGTATGAAAATGGGGAAAATTTCGCCGAAAAAAGTGGTCGAAAACTGAATTGTATGATAACTGGACCAGATGAAAACCAGGATTCCACTGTACTGTATTTTCATCTATTTTGTACAAATGCTGTACATGGTTTGTCTTATATCTAATGATTGCTTTTATTTTCAGTACTATTCATAAGTAACTATTGTTACATTATAATTGTTTTAAGGTATGATATTTCTTGAAAGTAAAATCGCACAACATTCACAACTATTGTGCATCTTTGCGTGGTTTTCTGGCTGTGTCCTAACATAAGTAACATTTTTCCTGTACTTTTCTGTGCATCAGGCTTTAGCCAACGTGGTTCATTTCACTGCCATGGCAATGACTTGTAGACATGAGTTGTCCCTGGTATTTTTTCTGTTATCTGCCTTTTGACAGATAAATGGAAATAAGCTAGTTGGGATTTTTTCCAGTTTTCACCTGAAATATATTGTATGCATTTAGCATTGCAATGTCTAACAGATGGGAAAACAATTGCATGTGTTACTTGAAACTTCTAATGCATTTCACAGACCCAGTTTGCATATCTGACTTGTCAGTTAAATGCATATTGCTTGTGCAATTGATGAATGCAGTAGATTCGTCTGTTTGCCTGTCCACCTTATCAGTTTCTTTGATTTGGTACCTTTGTATGGTTGTCAACATAACGACAGCAAACAACAACAATTTTATTTTAGCATGATACATGTTTGTACAGAGGAGTGTAACAATTTGGTGAACATGCCAAAAGCCCCTTTATATGCAGAGCATTTTGAACAAACTTAAGTCTAACTTATGATTAATAAGGCAATAACAGTGCTGTAATTGTACATACGGTCATTAGGTGAGTGACAGTGAATACAAGAAAATTGAATATTCAACTGGTTCACATTATATGGCTTTAATAAGTTCGGTAGAGAAGAATTACAGTTTTGATAAAGTATATAAAAAATACAGTATTACAATTTAGCTTAATTTAAAACAATGAAATTGAAACAATTACAGTGGACCCTCAACCAGCGATGGCATCGATTAACGATAAATCTGACTAGCGATACATTTTAACGCAAAAATTTTGCCTCGACTAGCGCTTAAAAACCTGACCAACGCTATTCGTTCCGTTCAAGACGCGTCCACTTTGGCCTGAGCGCGCCCCACTTGTCCCATGGGTGCCAAGCGGGACGTACATTACTCAGGAGGAAAAGGCACTCCCAGGACATAAGCCTATGAAAGACAGGCTTACTCTGTTGATGTGTGCCAATGCTAGTGGTGATTGCAAAGTGAAGCCTTTATTGGTGTATCACTCTGAAACTCCCAGAGTGTTCAGGAAAAACAATGTCGTCAAGGCTAATTTGTGTGTGCTGTGGAGGGCAAACAGTAAGGCATGGGCCACTAGGGACTTTTTCTATGACTTTTTACACCATGCATTTGCCCCCAATGTGAAAAATTACCTAATTGAAAAGAAATTAGACCTTAAGTGCCTCCTGGTATTAGACAGTGCTCCTGGTCATCCTTCAGACTTGGCAGAGTGACTTTCTGGGGACATGAGCTTCATTAAGGTGAAGTTTTTGCCTCCTAATACCACTCCTCTCCTGCAGCCCATGGACCAGCAGGTCATTTCCAACTTCAAGAAACTGTACACAAAAGCTATGATTGAAAGGTGCTTTGTAGTGACCTCAGAAACTCAACTGACTCTAAGAGAGTTTTGGAAAGATCACTTTACCATCCTCAATTGTGTAAACATTATAGGTAAGGCTTGGGAGGAAGTGACTAAGAGGACCTTGAACTCTGCTTGGAAAAAACTGTGGCCAGAATGTGTAGATAAAAGGGATTTTGAACGGTTTGAGGCTAACCCTGAGAATCCTATGCCAGTTGAGGAATCAGTTGTGGCATTGGGGAAGTCCTTGGGGTTGGAGGTTAGTGGGGAGGATGTGGAAGAGTTGGTGGTGGAGGACAATGAAGAACTAACCACTGATGAGCTGCTAGATCATCTTGAACAGCAAGAGGGCAGACCTGAGGAAACTGCTTCGGAGGAGGGGATAGAGAAATTGAAGAAGTTGCCTACTTCTAAGATTAAGGAAATGTGTGCAAAGTGGCTTGAAGTGCAAACCTTTATTGATGAAAATCACCCTGACACAGCTACTGCAAGCCGTGTTGGCAACCTGTACACTGACAGTGTTGTGAACCACTTTAGGAAAGTCATAAAGGAATGAGAGGTACAGGTATCTATGGACAGACATGTTGTGCAACAGAAGTCCATTGACTCTGAAGCTGGTCCTAGTGGCATTAAAAGAACAAGGGAACTAACCCCAGAAAAAGACTTGCTACCTCAAGTGCTAATGGAAGGGGATTCCCCTTCTAAACACTAAGAAGATCAATGCTCTCCCCTCCTCCCATCCCATTAATCATCACCAGATCTTCAATAAAGGTAAGTGTCATGTAACTGTGCATGTCTTCTTCAGTTTGTGTGTATTAAAATTAATATTTCATGTGGTAAAATTTTTTTTTTCAATACTTTGGGGTGTCTTGCACGGATTAATTTGATTTCCATTATTTCTTATGGGGAAAATTAACTTGACTAACGATTATTTCGATTAACAATGAGCTCTCAGGAACGGATTAATATCGCTGGTTGAGGGTCCACTGTATAAGTTTGGAGTAATGATTAAATAGTTGAGCAATCATCAAGCACAGTTTACAGTATAAAGTATATTACAGTTTAGCACAATTTAAAACAATGAAATTGAA